AAGGACACTATGCGTGAATCACGAGAAGCATTACGTTTCATTGGTTACTGTCCACAGTTTGATGCGCTGCTTGATCTTCTTACAGTGCGGGAACACCTTCAGCTCTACGCTGGCATTCGTGGTGTTGTTCAAGCGCAGCGTGCGACGGTGGTGGAGGAACTCATGCAGTTGTGTGAACTCACATCATACGCCAAGACCCGTGCTTCTGCGTTGAGTGGCGGCAATCGCCGTAAGTTGTCTGTTGCGCTTGCGTTGATTGGCGGCCCGCGTGTTGTCTTTTTGGATGAACCCTCCGCCGGGATGGACCCTGTGGCCCGCCGTGGTCTCTGGACGGCTGTGCAGTCCATCGCGAGCAACTGCGCTGTGGTCTTGACAACACACCACTTGGAGGAAGTGGAGGCACTCGCCCACCGTGTGGCCATCATGGTGGACGGCACCCTGCGCTGCATTGGCAACAAGACACATCTCAAGAATAAGTACGGCAGTGGATTTGAAATGACAATTCGCACACATGAGAATGTGCCACGTGAGGAGGTGGATGCCTTCATTCAACGGAGTTTCCCCGCCGCGCAGTTGGATGAGGTGCGAGGCCATCGCTACACGTACGCACTCCCCGCAGGCACGCGGCTGTCGGAGGCGTTTGGTGAACTCGAGCGCCACCGCGAGGAAGTGGGCATCGCCGACTACGCCGTTTCACAGACAAGCATCGAACAGGTCTTTCTGCGCATTAGTGAAGGGGCAGAGGAGGATGAGACACACCAGGAAGAACATTCGCAACAAATGGAAGATCTTCTATAAGAAATGATGAGGAATGAAGGGAAATACTAAAGTGAAGATATACAAGAGAGTGAGAGAGTATGTAATTTACTCCTTTTCTTTTTCTTTTTCCATATTTCTCTCTTTCTGACGTCAAAAACGAAGGTAAAAAATATTAAAAAATGAAAAAGACGGAAAAGGGGTAAAAAGAAGATGTGAGTTTTTTGGTTTTGTTTTATTTATGATAGTAAACCTTAACGAGCGTTTCTTGATCCCATTGTTTTTATCGGTTATTTTTTAATTATGTGCTAGCGTTTTTTCTTTTCCATCCCCCGTGTATATACGTACATGTTTTAAAACAAATGATAAATGTGTCACACTGTGTAGTCTTATCCGAGCGATTCTACTCATTTGTGATCAAACTAAAAGAAGAAAAAAACTTACGGAAATAA